GTCATGTTGGGGTACACCTTCAGAACCACATTTTTGTTTTCATCAAAGAACAAGATACTAAGAGAAGACATTTTGTCAGGAACACAGCAAGGCTCAGGAATGCCAGGGACAACTCCGACGGCTCTCACTATGCTCTGGATGGTGGCGTGGTTGGATGGCTTCAAGGCCTACAAGAGAGATACGGCAGAATGTTACTGCACCCACATTCCCATTGATGCCCAGAAAAGGGGGCAGGTGAACAAAAAACTGCTCAGAGACAGAGTTTTAGTCTATGAACAGCAGGTATTTATTCATTATGACGTCGGGGAGGTTTACCCGTTCAGGCCAGGTAAAAGCTCCAAAGTGATTCAGTAAAAACAGAGAATTTATACAGTATTCTGATCATGATTGCAACATAATTTCACATATTCATGTTATTGCATCATTTGATTACAATATTCATAACAGGTGGAGTTAGGGGTGGAGATTGAGGTGTGGTCTCTATTTTGAGGAATATTATGGTGGGAAATCCTGTTTGCCTTCATCCTGGGGGCTGTATTTTTACTCCTCATCCTCGCCTGACCTCGGGGACCTTTCGTTCTTTCTATTGTTTTCATGTTCTGATCACTCAGCCTTCAAGAAAGTCTTGGCTTGGGGCCTATAACACCTATTGAGATGTCACCTTGGCTCCTCTGGATGAGATTTATGGGCGCTGGGCCCCTTGCCCAGCGTTTATCGTGGTTCCTTCAAGGTCCGATGCTCTTCAGCACAGGACAGAATCTTCTTGTGCGAAATGCAGTTTACAAAATATGGTTTAAGGCAGATTAAAAGTGTACAGGGGGGTGTACAGGGGGGTAGGGGCCCTTATGGGCCCACAGTCCCAATTAACCCTTCCTGCTTCACCATGGACATAGGTACTCTACAAAATTGCTCTCTCCAAGAAGGGCCCAGTGGAGACCCATCACCTGTAACACGTCTGCTCCTCCACCCTTGCCAGTTGCCACCACAGCTGCCTGGAGCCAGCCGCAAGGAATGTGAAACTGGGCTGGTTTCTTTTGGGCCCCTGTCAGGACTTAAAGGAAGCAATGAATTATCTTAAAACACTGTCAAAGAGGGAAATTCCCATAAGATAAGCCACCACAGGAACTCCTGATAAGAGTAGATGGCAACAACAGGAGCCTGGCCTGGTAAGGCAGATCTGGGTAATGTACCTGAACAAAGATTCCCACTGTGGAAATCTGTGAGAAAGGAAAGCGTTCATTCCAGACCTAAACAAAGGTGAAGGTTTGAAATAAACACACTGGACAAAATTCCACCATCCAAGCTGTGGGAAAGAAAACAATTTGCCATGCCAAGTTGTGGGAACATCTGAGACGCCCCGTAAATACCAGGGACTTGGACTGTAGAAAAGTGGTACCCCAGAAGCAGGACTCTGGGACCCTCACCACCGAGAGGACCAGAAGAAGGAGTGGCAGGATGCTGTTGGAATCCATGCGCTGGCAATACCTTTATCTTTTTACTTAATTGGTCTCATTGTCTCTCTCTCTACCTCATGTTTACTGTTAAATAAAATCCTTACCATTGACCTTGGCACATGGTCTCGTTTGCACCCTTAATTCAGGCACAGGTATCTTTTAACAATCGGATCCTAACACCCCCGGATGAAATTGTCCCTCTGCCACGTTCAGCTCCAGCTGCCACGACAGGACCTTGTGCTCCCTGTGGGATCTGCCTGCCCAAGCAATCCCTATAGCTCAAGGTGGTCTCTCCTGTGCAATTTCAGTTACGCACAGGCTGCAATTCAGTCGTACAGCTCATCAGGCCGAGAGGGAGGCTGTCCATGTGCCAGCAGGCTGAGTTGGTGGGAGAGCCAAAGAAACCTAACACGTGGGCTGAGAAGTCTGACTGATGGAACATAAGCGCATCAGGAAGAAACAAAAGTGGACAAAATCCATGGAAAAGAGAGAACAGAAGCGCGTCAGGCCACGATGCCAACTGTTCCAGTTAGCACTTGTGCCAGGCTCGGCTCTTCTGCCTTCCATGCTAATGCCTTCTCATCTGTAGTATCCATTTGTAGTCAGTGGCACTGCTGAGGAACGGAGCCCCAAAGTCAGTTGTACCTCATAACTAAGGTGCCATTTTCCTCATAAGGACAAACTCCAAATGACAAAGTTCACGAAGTTATACTGATGTAAAAAGGAACACACTTGGGTTTGCTCTGAACAAAAAGCAAATCTGACCGGTGAGAACTATTTGATCAAAACACTAGAATACATTAGGATGCTCATAAACATAAAAACATACACATAGAAGTGCAAAATACCAAGTTGTACCTCTGAACCACCAAACCCTTCCAGATCCAGGTACCTGTACAAAAGATAGGGGGGCATGAAAAATGCACAAGATGCAGCTTTCAGCCAAAGACTTTTGGTTTGCTTTTTAGAGCTGTTCTTACACACAGAACCTGAATATCAAAACAGTTCCCTGTGCTGCTCCATCACAGGCCACTGTGAATAGAGGGAACAAGGTCATTTGGGCCAAATGAGCAATCTGCAGTTTTGCTGTGACAAGAGGCAATTTATTTCTGGGAAGAAAATCAGTCTCGAGATTAGATATGTACCAACCTGAGGACCAAGTCTCAGTGACCTTGCAAGCAAAAGCACAGGAATAACTCTTGAGATTCCACCTTGCCATATTGTTTGCATAACACGTTAGCACATTTAGTAGTAAGTCTCCATTTGGCAGCTGATCTCAAGGAAGATACTTCTGCTGGTTTGTTCTTGAATTCAGTAGCACCCAGGGATTTAAAAACGTGTCTTAGATTATCAAACAGTTCCAATTTTTGTATCATTTCTGCCTGCAAAAGGATGTGAAAGCTCCAGTAGCACCCAGGCATCTTTCCTTACTCAGTTGCAGTGCAGCGTTCTCCACAAAAACAACTAGGAGCCCAAATGATGTCCCAAGCCTGCTAATCACATGCCAAAAGGTACAACACGTAGTGAGACCCTATTTTGTGTAGGCAGTAGTACTGGAATTAAAATCAGGTGTCTGAATATGCCATGTAACATCATAAATCCTCTCCTCCCCACATGGAATATGTACTGCCAAAATGCTGAACTGCACTGAACCCACTTCAAGCAAAGCACCACTGAACGGATTTCAAGCATGGCCTCAGCTGTCAGCAGGAACAGCTTGGACACGTTCTGTTCAAAGAGAAGTGTCTCTGTTTGACACAGCTCTCATCCAGCACGGAACATCTTCCGTACTGACACGAGCCCTGTGCTGCGCGTGCTGCCCCAGCTCTTCAGACGCACTCTGGAGGACAACCAGCTTTGGGACAACTCTGCTTCAGCTGGCAGGAATTTAACTGGGACTGAAGCAAAATCCAGAGGCGTGTCCTTCTAGGGAAACCCAAATCCCCTTGGGAGTACTGAACTGCCAGAATGCCCTGCACAAGGCGGGGCAAGTCGGGCCACTGCCTGCAGGCTGCCTACGCTCCATCCAGCACATGGTCACAGAAGGCACACAGAGGTTTGCTTTTAGGAGGGGAGCAGTGGTAGAAAAAAACGCCGAGCTGCCTCCCAACTGCCAAATCTGTGAGCAAGTCCAGCTGTGGTCAGGCTGCACCTGCTAAGTTCCCGTGCTCTCAGGAAACTGATTGCCCTGTGGAGCGTCATTACAGCTGGGTTACGAGCAGGACACGTGACAGCAGTTATGAGCTGTCATTCCTGATCATGAGAGCATCTGCCTGGCCTGCATGCTCTGCACCACGGCACATGCCCAACACGTGTGGATTTGACAGCAGTCAAACCGGTTCCTGGAACCAGGGAATGTGTAAAGCCAGAAAATCTGGAGGTGAGAAGTGGGAGGCACACCTGTTCTTAATTACCCAACAGCTTGTCAACTCCAGGAGCTTGCCCTCAGCCAGGGAACATTATATACATACTGGCATAGATTAGTCTGTGAGTGTCTGATGGCCACAGTATCACTTTGCAGACATGGCCTTAGTAGTAGCAGCAGGCATTATGCATCGCTCAAGAGCAACACACAGCTTTAGAAGACACCCCTGTACGTAATTTAGCTTTCAATTCTCTTTGGAAAACAAAGTCATTTTGTTCTTTGTGATTAAAAAAGTGCAGGAAACAATTTGAATTTCAACAATGGGCTGAAAGCTACCACTGGCCTTCAGGGAACTCATCTCACAGTTGGTATCAGTGCACTGCTCTTTCACTGATCCCAATCTCTTTGCCACACACAGCTCTGCAGTGTTGACATGGCTGCAACGTTCCACTGCTGTGATCCTTTAGTCACATTTTTACAACTAATACTGCAACTGGAAATGTGAAGCCAGTCTTAACCAGAGGGATACAGCAGGCCCCTTAGAGTAGAAGCAGTCCAGGTCTGGCACCATTAACATTTCTAATCTGCACACTGACTTACTGGTTTGATGGAGCACAGCTCCCAGCAACAAAGTAAAAGGAATGATGCAATGTATTCCAAGGTAATAACTCTATCTCTTCCCATTCCCTTTCATTTTTTTCACTGGATTTGAAACTTTACAGCCTGCCATTGCAGCTGGAGGTAGTCAGGCAAGCCATCTCCTCCTTCAAGGAGAGGTTTCTGCCTTCCTCAGCTGCTTTCTCTGGGCTCCATCCCCTTTGGCACAGTTCTTCCTCCCTTGGTTCCTTAAGTCCCTGAAATACCACACATATTTTGGAACTAACTGCTCAGGTTTCACTGTGGCAGGAATAAGGAATCTGGAATGCAATGCTGCAGTAAGTCCAAGAGCGCTGCCTTTACTGAAATTTCCTGCAGGTGTTACTCATGCACACCCCTCATTTTAGGCCAGCCTTGAAAACCACATCCTACTCTCAAGTTTTGATAGCCTCAAGGGGGTCCACACTGCTAAGAACGGCACGGACATTTGGAGCTGAGTTCATCCGCCTAGGTCACAGGGCTAGGAGCACATCAGCCCTTCCTATTACTCACATGCAAGCCCATACAAACTAGAGGACACTTTGAAAGTGAGTGGGCCACCCATTGCTTTTGGATCCCCTCAGTCTGTCACAGACTCTTCTGTTTACAGGCATCCCAACCATTCCTGCAGCTGCACAGAGCTCCCTGCCCTTGTGACAGCCCTGCCTCACGAGGCACATGCTTTTCCTGGAGGGTGCTGTGCCAACTGACTGACACAGCGTGGGTCTGGCACCACAGGCTCCTTCGGGGCACAACTGATGGCTGATACGCGATTTTCCGGATCTGGCCTGTATTATGTTCATTAAACAGGTTAATAACAAGTTCACACATCATGAGCACTATTCAGGAAATGCTTTATGGCAATTTGGGTTCTGGACAAAAAACTAATACCACATCATATTTTTTTTTAATTGCCTTTTCAAGCCTGTCTTTTTACTAGATGTTCTAACCACTGCTCCTTGCAGCACGAGACAAAGATATCACTCAGGTACTAGACCCAAACACATAATGGGACTGGTTGCCTTTACTGACACAGGAAAGAAAATGCACAGTTTACAGGGAGAGACAGCGAGAAAGAATCCATAAAGACCGTACCTTTGGAATAGGAAATTGGCATTCCCCTGAGCAGTAATAGGCGTCAAAGGACTTAGGAGAAATAATCCACTCGCTCCAGCCGATGTCTGCAAAATCCACCTTGAGATAGCGCCGGGCGCAATACCTTGGCTCATTCCACTGCTTCCTCCTCGCCTTCTTCAGCGTTTGCTCATCGAACTGGAGAGTCTGGCTCTTCTGAGGATGATTCTTCCTTTGCTTTTTCTTACTCTTGGCCCTCTCTGCTGACTGCGGCTGGAAGGTTTTATAAGGTTTTCTGTCTTCTGCTCTCTCCTTCTCGCCGTACCAGTACTCGGCTCCCGGCAGCTCGTTATTCTGCAGTGGCAACAGGATGTTTGCAGAGCGTTTCCTCCGGTGCTTCCCAAGGCTGCTCCTCACGTGGCTTTCTGGCTTGGCAAAGACTCTTGCCAGAGGATGACGGTGTCCTCGCAAAGTTGAGATGACACTCTCAGGCTCTGAGATAGCAGAATCATTGGCATAAATCAGGATGTAGGGTTCACAGCAAGAAGATGCCCTTTCCCAGGGATGATGGCCAGACAGAGCTATTTTGACACTGATCACCAGTTCGTTGTTTTGCTTTGCTTCATGCAGGAGCCGAGTGATATCCTTCCACTGCCAAGAAAGGATGTCTGGGTAAGCAGTGGAGACATTTATTAGGAAATGTCCCAGGCTCCGAGTCTGGTTCCCAACAGAAGGAAAGGCCCAAACCGAAAGACATATCTGAATGTCAGGTCTCCTATGCCTGTGACAAGAGCAGCCACTGGACTGTGAACAGTTCCACTTGACACGCAGCAGATCACCAATATAATAATACACTGAAGCCGACAAGACGTTTTCAGACTCTGTGAGCGACGTCAAGTTAAAAACATACATTTCCTGGTCTTCCGGCCTCCCTAGAAAAATAAATGCTTAGATAAGAATATGGACATTTAAAGAAGTCATCGAGAAGACACATGGGCTGATCTGACAGCCTTTTGGCCAGATCAGACACTAATTGCACCTGAAGTTTCCCTTGAGAACAATCAATTACACAGCGTACATGAAATCATTCCACCTAGGACACTTCTTCCATTTTCATGCCAGAGCTAGAGGGTATTTACTAATACAGCTGAAGGCAGGCAGACAGTACTAGAGCATCCCCGATAACCAAAAGAAAGTCAACCCAAAATCAAGTTTGTGGGGTGTTGGGGGTAGCACACCCCCTCGCCTCTGTGCAGAGATAGACAAGCCAAGGACAGCCCTTCTTCAGAACTGGGATGTGCCTGTACCAACTAGGAGGGATGGGGGGGACAGCAGACATCGTGCCCAGACCCAGGGACAGGCTCCCGAGGCAGGCTGGCCTGGGAAACAGATGGGGGACTCCTTTAACCCCTGCAGAGTGCAGCAAAGGGGGCAAAGATTTAATTTTTGTTTTAAAATGTCCTGGTTGGGCTGCAGGTACATCCTTCAGAGCGAGAGAAATATAGATCCAAATGTTAAGCTGTAAAACCAGGCTGCGTGCAAAAGTCAAATGTGGTATAGCTAAGGGACATTCTGCAGCCCCTCAAAGGGCTGGAAACAACCCAATGCATTAGAAAAACAAGGGGATGCAAAAGAAAATGCTTTTTTGACACCACAGCATGTCAAAGCCCTCTCTGGAGACTGGAAAGACCTTACAGTTTACAGAATTTTGCAAGAGAGCTTCTCTCTTCCAGTATCTTGGGAGGGAGGGGGAGTGTTTGGTTGTTTGTTTTCCAAGGAATGACAAGCACAGAGATGCCCATGGACTAGGGATGAACAGTCTCACCATTCTCACCCTCAAAATACTGGGGGAAGTCCCCGCCCAAGCAAGTGAAAACATGATTTTCCAGTACTGCCGAAGACTTTGACAACTTCATGTTCTGGATAACATTCTGTGTGACATCCCTGCTGCTGATGCCATTCGGGTAAGTCCAACGTATTTTCCCTGTGCTGCCCCATTCCCACCCCACAATCCAAGCAGCCTCCTCTTCTAAACATTTCTTTGTCATGAATATTTCAACTGATACATTAAAAAAGCAGGAACTCGTCCCACGAGAAAGACAGAACCCTTCTCCCCAACATGTCAGATGTGCTGTTTCACAGAATTATGGAAAAAACAGCATACATTTTCCTCAGTGAAACAGGGCCAGAACAGTGACAAGGCCAAATCATTTACGGAAGACACCCTTGTTTACACATTCAGCCTAACCTGATGGCAGAGCACAGAGGTAAGTTCCCAAGAGCTGAAAGCTGATGTCCCAAACCCATCCAATTTCCAGCTATTATTTATGCCTGGAGAACTAGATTTCCTTCCAATTCGATCCTCCTTTTAATTCCTCAAACCAAAACCGGCTGTTGGTTACACTTGTGCTAAGCACACATGAGGACCTGACCTCTGCTTTGTTTATAATCCCTAATGGAATAAGGTTAATAAATAATTTGGCAGAGCACCGAGTACATCAGTCTTAGAAAGCAGAATTTATGGTGTCCCGTGAGCACTTGTTAAGGAAGTTATTATTTAAATCATTGCTATTAAGTTGACTGACAAGTTTGGATTTTAATTTTTAGCAAGAATTCCACTTAACAAATCCTGCCTGTTCTGAAGTGGAACACTGTAGCACGAAACAAAACAAGCTGCTTTTGCTTATAAAGAAATTCTAGACGGCAAGGAATCCACAGTTCTGGTTAAAACCCCATGCCAAGAGAAAGCACTTCCAGTAGATGGTGCTATTTTCCTACAAAAAGACCTCCAAGCTCCAGAGTTCTCAGCTCTTCCTATCAGCAAAATCATCTAGTGGCCAGCACAGACATCCATGGATTCAACGGCTTACGCCTCAAGAAACCCAACTGCATGACCTGGGTTTGCATCACAACTTGGGAATATAATGTCGAATAGGTCCCTTGTGTGACACGGATACCCAACTCCCAGATGTGCACGTGAAATAAGCGTTCCCCAGGTTTAAAAATGACAGGCATGCCAAGAAAGATTCATCTTTAAAATAGCTACAAACGCACCTTCTCCTCAGGAAGATTTCCTTTCATTTCAATGAAACTTTGCCCTTGAGCTCTGAGGACAGACTCTGCCAGAAATCTTTCTGCAGGATAAGATTTAAGAAGAAAAAAGCGAAGAAAAAAGTACGTCCTACAGAGATATACATTGCTACCTTCCACACATCATGAGGCCAGATTTTAGCAGCAATCTCTGCCCCCCTCCACCCGATATTGCTGCCAGCCTGATGAGGACTTTTCGAGACCAAGCTCTGCGTGACAGAGTTCTTTTGAATGGCAATAGGCAGGACACAGCACGACTGCACCGTTAGCAGGGCTCGCTTCCACAGCGTCGTGCGTTGGAGTGGCAGCCACGAGCCGAGGAGGATGTGCCAGTGTTCGTATTCACAGAGAATATCATGTGGAAGCTACGTGCTGTTGCACAGAAAGGCGACCGGTTTGTCGACCTCCGTGGCCCGTAGGCAACTCTGTGTTCACCTGTGCCTTATCCAAAATGAAACCTTATCCAAATGAAGCCCAGAGCCCAGCAACACCGTGGTAAAGCTTATCTCAGGACATCACTTCCCAGTTTCCTGCACAAGTGACAACAGGGCTCTATAGGAGGGGGCGAGACGAAAGGTACAAGTCTCTCCAGGCCTAAAGCACGAATGCCTTACTCTGCGTGTGTGCTGGCACTCCCCAGAGTGGAGTACCAGAGATGCCAGATTATATACTGACAACTCAAACCCAGCTCACGGCACTGCAGCTGAAATGTGTACCTGCTGGACGTTCAGGGGCACAGCCCGTGCTTCCTCACCTCCCTGCACCAACCCACAGCTGCAAGGACAGCCTGTGGCTGGCATTAAAAAGGTATTTTTAAGGAAGTGTAGTGGGTCTGTGGAGACAAACGTGGGCAGCACGAACAGATTCACATCACAAGGGGCACTTCAAGGCATCAATAAGCTGGAAGGAGTCTGTTACCATGTGGTGTATTTATCTTTATAGAGGATGCCCTGACATTTTTAGGGACTGCCAAATCTATCCTATGGGTGAAAAAGGATGCAGTAATGAGGACTATTTAGTTATACAGTCACCACGAGCCATCATTTAAAAGATATTTAAGATATTAAAGTGGTGCCCTTTTGCTAGGGTACAATTAAGAACTTATCAATGTTTCCACTGTAAAACTTTGTTTTCAGGGGCTCACAGCCCAGCTACAAAAGTTCACTCAGAGCTGGAAATAGGAACAAGTTCCCAAACAGGAACACAAATCTGGAAGCCAGATTTTCTCTTTTCTCTCACCTTCGCTCTTACTCAACTGCTGCATTCCAGTTACCAACTCGTGTACTGCGTAAGAGAAAGACCTGGGATGCGGTTCTCTGTTTTCAAAGAGCATAGGACCCAGTGCCAAACTAGTTTTACTAATTCCTTTAGCAAAGCAGGTAAGGTCACATGAGCTAGCAACTTGACATAAAACAGCAGCAAGTGCACCACTCTGATTAAAGCTGCCAGCTGCTCAATTAAAGAACTTTTCTAGAAGCAGCAGTGGTGCATGCTAAGGACCTAACTTAGACGTGGATTTCATGATATGAAAACCACAAATCTGCACACCGCATATCGTAGGTGTGCTGCACAGTGGCCACAGGAACTGTCTTCTATACACTTTAAGCAGAAAGACCACAGCAGGGTGACAACTAAACACAACATCTAACTGGAAGCTAGCACAAGCCAAGCAAGCTAAGGGGGTGCATGCACAGAGCACACAAATCTGGGCATGGAAAGATCTGAGCACATTCTCCCTCATAGCTGCGATTCATTCCACTTCAGCTGGTGGCAGCAGGCTGGTTGCGTGAAAACCAAATCGTGCACAGCCTATGAGACCAGAGCTCTTTGTGCTGAAGCATCATGCTCTAGAAACTGTGACTGGCTGGGCACTGTGAGCACAGGTCACCTACAGGCACAGCACCACTGTGAGACAGGTCGTGACAGAAGCCAGAAAATTCAAATTCTGGGTTTGGTCCTGAGAGGCCGAACCTGTAGATCCTGCCTGTTTGCCTCAGAGGAAGTTTGCAGATTTGGGCCTGTCTGCCCAAATCATAGCTTAATATTTTTCAAGTTCCTTCTCCCTAAAATCTATCAGGATGCTTCTGCTTGCACTTTATTTATAGAGGTATAACAAAACCCCCCAAAACAACAAAAAACTCGGCCAAAAAAAAAGCTGAAACAAAAAATAAATCCCAAAACCCCACACTCTCACTGTCTCCTGACTGAATGTTTTTAAGGTTCTCGTTGCAAGACCCCTGATGTTCCTGGCGCTCAGAGGGGCCAGCATTTGGCCCAGACTGGTTTCTGCAGGCTGATGGCAACTGCTGAGGTGCTGCTTGCCCTGTGCAGTGCTCTGTTTCCCTGGTTCACGTGGGCACTTCACACCGCAACAAAGTAAAGAAAGGACTTCAGAAAGGGAGGAGAACATAGCTGTAAAACCACAAGAATTGGCCTAGGGGCAGCTGTAATACCTGAAATCACTTGAAATTCAGTCAATAAAAAAGAGTTTAAAGTAATTTCTCTTACTATAACATCATTAGCGGGACCTTCCAACTCAAGTCAAGTTTTTTAAATGACTCATTTGCAAGACACGTTCCTTAAGCAATGTTCAAATTAAAAATGCTTTCAGAAGCAAATCTAGTCTGCCTTTGAGGCTTTTATTTTTCCACTCTCTTTCTCTCTTTTACTTTTTCATGCTGTGTCTTTCCTCCTCAGCCTGGACAGAGAATCAGCTTACCTCCAAGGAAGTGCTGAAGTAGGCAGATTTCTGTCAACCGGAGGTCAGGTCACTCTCAGGAGAAAGGATCGGCTGAACGCAGACACTGCTGCACAGACGGACCCACAGTTTCAGAGTTCCCTTGCCAAAATCACCCAAGCCTTCAGCTCTAACTCACATATCATCTGACCCTTCCTCCCACCTGTCCTTTAGAGTCACAAGGGATGAAGACCTCTCACTGCTGTGGCACCTGCAGGTGAAGAACTGGAAAAGGCCTGCCCAGAGCAACACAAGGGCTGTTTCTGTCATCCTTGCACCAACGACAAGAGCTGACACAGAAATCACAGGACTCAAACACACAGCAACAAATTAGAGCAGTTAAATCCAGGAGAGAGAACAGTGCTGCAATGTAACTACATGCCCTCTGAAAGGGGTACATAGTTACTTCACTCCGCTTGGATTTGGGGCCTGGGGTTTCTTTTCAGCTTTGTCACAGGCAGCTTTCCTTTTTTCAGTGATTCAAACTGAACAGTTCCACTATGAGATAATTGAGCAAGATCAATGAAAAACAAATTTGCCAGAATAAATGATTGTCTGAACATTCATCAAAACCAAAGGCCAAAACCCTGAGGCCAAACAAGCAACCTTTGATACTCCAGCCTAGTCACGAAATCTGGTGCACGAGAGATTTCAGAGCAATGTGGGATGGAAACTTCAGAGGTGCTACACTGCGCTGCAGCTCTCATCCCATCCCCTTGGAGGACTGAGTCACAGAAAGAGCAACTTGCATTTAAGTTTTTAGGATGCTTGATTCGATTAACTAGTCTTACTTGTTTTTTGTTGGCTATCGGTTACAAGGCTGCAGTTGCCACATGTGACACCACTGTTCTTTGATCAAAAACAGGATGACTTTCAAACAAATCCTCCAAACTCCTGGCCTCATCGTACAACATCTATCTTACAGGGTCTCAAACACTTGTACGGTGGGTTACCTGGGCAATCTGGGAAAGGCCTTTCCCCTGTGCCACATAAGAACCAGCAGCCCTGGAGGGGTTTCACAGACACATTTGAGAGCGCTGTTGCAGAAAAGAAAGTTTCTCTCCTGAAAATATCAGCTTAAATTGCAACGTTAAACTGCAAATGAAACCACTGAAGATTTGCTTCAAAGCCTCTTGCTATAGATGCAGAGGAATCCCCAGATTCTTGGGGAGCTCCTGCTCATGGCAGACAAAAAGCTGAGTCCTGAGGGAGTTAGCAGCAGGGATGGTAAAACATAAAGGAGTAACAGCAACACGATGTATTCAATTAACTGATGCAGTCCCACTAAGGACTGGGGGAAGCCCATGAGAGACTGAAATTTGGAGCCAAGGCAGAGGATCTGGAGACAAAGCACCTCAAAAGGGGAATAAGGTGAATGCACCATTTTCATCGCAGGGCTGGCCAGGCAGTCAGGCACAAGCAAGGAGTCAGAAACCAGAGAAAGCCTTTCCACTCCACCCACCATCCTGAGGAACATCTGATCTAAGGGTTTTCTGGAAATGTGCTTTTCTGCCATCAGTAACCACACAAAACGAGCTGCTGCTGCCTATGGCAAGAGAAAGACAACCAACCGTTAAATCTGTTGCAGAAATACTTATTGAAGTGTCAAAAAACTTATAACCAGTTTATTGCTCTGGTTGTTGATTTGTAGAAGTATCAGATGAAGGGGATTAGCAAGCAGTGTGTTTATAGGACTGCTGGCACCCAATGCCAAGTGAGAGTACAAGTTAGGAAGGCAAGAGGAAGTTCCTCTCTAGGAGCAGCAGCCGAGGAGTCCCAGGTCTCCATCCTCTAAACTCAGGGTATTTACACCTCTAAAGCTGGTTCTGTGGGCAGAAATACTTGCAGGACCATGTGATGGACAGCACTTGCAGGGCTGAACCCTAAGACACCAAAGCCACTCAAGTCCTCATGGTATTTGATCTCTGTGCAGAGCTACTTTAGGAAAGACATTGTTGCCTTTGAAAAAGCATAAGTAATGACCCACAAAGAAACGTAAAGGAAGCCTGGCACCCAGCTCTCTTTCCAAGGAGAGGAAGGAATCAAGGCAGGTCACTAAAATTCCCAGACAATTCTCAGTTTTACTGATAGTTACTTGTTCATGAAAAATCTGCTGCGTCAGTCCACTGGTGTAATGCAAAGTAAAGGACTGGCAGATGGGGCTGCTGTGTGTGGCATTACAGTTGTCATACACAGTACAAGGTTTTGGCATGCAGTGGATTTGGGAAGGACATCCCAGCAATGGTCACTTTTGGGTTCTGGCAGTTCCATTTAGCCCTTGCAGAGCTCAGATGCACAAATGGAGCACCAAGAGCGCCAAGATAGTGACATCTTCCCTTTCGGCTAGGACACAGCTCTTTTGGAATGCTGGCATGTTAAAAATCCCACCACACCCCTCCCCCCCCATGAAAAATGATTTTACCTTTTTGCCAACCTATCTGGGCACGTCAGTCTGTAATCACAGAGATATCTAAGCGCCACTGCCAAAGATGCCAAGATGCAGTATTTACCATGCTCAAATCACGCTCCAACTGAACTCTTCTGTCACTGTCTCTAACTGCCAGTACTATCTCCACTTCTCATCGTTAGAATGCTGCAGATAGTCTGAAGTATCACCAAACCAGGCCCCTGGTTCAACAGAAGCTACACATGCAAAACACCACTAACGGGAGACTGTGGAGACGATATGTTAATAACTCCACCTCCCTCACACTGTACTCGGCAGCGATGCTACACGCAGAGCCGAAGCAGCAAGGCAATAATTAAAGTAAGTGACACAACGTAAACAGAATATCTTAAAATACACAACAGTCCTCGCAGGAAGCGATACTTTAATCCTTTCACGTCCTCTTCCCTCCACCGAGCTCCCCGGGCACTACCCCTGCGATGCTCTGACGCGATGGCTCTGGGGACACGGCACGGCCCCGGCCGAGGCGTGGGGCTGCCCCGTGGCCAAGCGCTCCCCGTCAGGAGCCAAGCCCTGCCCTGCCGGGCCCCCCCTCCTCGCTCGGCCGCGGCGCGAACTCACCTGTCGGCAGCGGGCGGAAGCCGCGCACCGTGTTGCCCCGGGGGAGCGGCGGCCCTGCCGGCGGGTGCCGGGTCCCGCGGTACTGCTCGTAGAGCCGCAGCATGTGCTCCGCGACCCTGTCCGCCGCCGGCGGCCGCCCGTGCCGCCGCTGCCCCGGGCCGTCGTCACCTGCGGCCGCCCGGGCGCTGCCGTCCCGCACGGCCCCCGGCGCCGCCCGCCGCCGCAGCCCGACCCGGCACGGCCGCAGCGCGTCGGCCAGCGGCAGGCACAGGCAGCTCCAGCCCAGGCACAGGCATAGCACCCAGCGGGCCGGCGCCGCCATCCTGCCCCTCCGCCCCGGCGAGCGGCGCCCGGGACCCCACGGCGCGGCGGGGCGCGCTCGGGGCAGGCGCGGCCCCTGACAGGCGCAGACGGGGCTGCGGGGAAAGCCGCGGACGGGGTGTCCTCCGCTTCTGGGGAAGGAAGAAAAAGGGGAAAAGCGGGGCGGAGGAAAGCGCCTCGGTCTAAACCGGCCGCCGGCCCTCTCTCCCTTCCCGGCGTGGAGTGAGGGGTTTTATTCCCGGCCGTGCAGGTTGTTGTCGGGGGAGAGGCGGCGGTGCTGCTCCTGGCGCGGCCGGTGCTCGTTCCCCGCTCCCGGCTCCGCGGCCGGTGCAGCCCCGCGCCGTGCAGAGCCGCACGGTGAGGGTGTAACCGCGGCGATCGCCCCGCCTGCCCTCGCTCCGGCGGGGGCGAAGCGCGGGGAACCGCGCCGGGAACCGCCACCCCGGGGGAGCGCAGCGACGGGACGGAGGGAGGGGAGGCTCTGGAAACTCCGTCCCCCCGGGCGAATGGGGAATGAGGCGGAGGACGTTCCCCTGCCCGCCTCCAGCCAGCCCCTCCCAAAGGCCGTACAATAACGTGATTGCAATAAAGCAAAAATTACGAGTCACACCGCACTCACCCTTCTCCCTTGGAACGTCTCATGGCTCGGCTGGGCGCAGAGCATAGTCCACCGCGGGCAGGTGGAAAGGATGTTTCCCGGGCTGTGCTGGGGTTCTGCCTGCCTCTCCAGAATACCAGGAGTACCAGGTCACGCTCAGTGACCCTCAGCTTCCTCCTCCGTCACCCTCCAACCCGGATGGGGCTAGCATAGGTGTCCCCAGCAGCCTCGAGCCCACAGGAAGGGACATGCACCCAGGGAAATCCTGCACATGAGGACGACTCCACTACAGCAGGGCACAGCAAGGCGTTCCTTACTCAGCTGGGACGATTCCATGTGCCTCCTGCATTTGCTGCCTTTCAGCACCAAAAGGACAGAAATATCTCACTCCCCTTACCAGTGCCACAGCATCACACAACACCCCATCGGGTATGACACCGTCCCTTCCGAAATCCTCTTCACAACACAAAGGGTGCCTCACCTGTACATCTGGCTGGGAACACAGGGGAGGTAGAAGAGGAGCCTCGTTAAATTGTCACTGTTTATAAATGCATTGGTTTCTGAACCACAGAAGGGGAATAATAGGATTAACCTGCAGATCAGTACATGGAGCTTAGCACACAGTATTTCCAGCATAGGCCATTCATATTTTCAACGCGCTACAAAAAGTGTATCGTTATCCAGTCCCAAATACAACACTGCAATATATTCTCTACTGCCCCTCAAATTCCACTGAATTTAGGATCAGTAGCAAGTACTGTTATGAAGTTGTAATAAGACCATCTGTAACTACAAGAGGGAAGTGGCCACCCAGGAAAGAGAAGATTCCTAACAGCAGAGTAATGATTTTTATATGCTTCTACATTTGAGGACTCAAATACAACCCATGGCAGTAGTGACTCATTTTCATACAGTTCTGGGGCACCAAAGCTGCCATATGCATCTCAAAGTATTGTCCACAGATATGCAAGCACACACAATGTCAGTATCAATGCTAATAGTACAATTAACTATACTTTTCACTTCCCCATGTAAGAAATGTACATTACTGCAATATAGAAAACAAACTGTCCCAAGTGAACATTCATAATTAAAAGGCATGACTGAGTTTTTGAACAAAAGTAATAAAACCAATGCAAATCCCTGCAGAAAGAAAACACACTTATTTGAACTGATGGCTACAAAAATCAGCACAAGCAGCAGTCTCTGGCTAATATCCTTGGCTGAACTGTCAATCCCAAAGAAGAATCTTTACGTATTTGAAATACTGGAATTGCCATTTCAAGCTTCGGTCAAGTTATTTCCCACTGTCGAGAAAAGCAATGATAAAAAAAAACTCCAACCAACAACACACACCAGAACTCTTTAAATAAAACAGGCATAACTGAATCCTCTTCTATATCTACAGTGCCAAATAACGTGCTGTAAGAATGTCATGTTTTGCATATTTCCAACACATCTTCTGAGCTGGGGCCTGACTCTTGAGATCAGACCATTCTAAATTGAGAACGACTTTAAAAAAATAAGCCCTCAGAGACAGCAGGTATCTAACACCACTCCCAAGCAAAGGGGGTTTAGTCAAGAGCTAATGTAAGTTCATTGTGGAAGCTCAAGCACCCCGTGGCTGAGCTTTATTTAAAATCTTTTAAGTGTTAGCAGAAAGCCCTGTTTATGCAAAATTAAACCCATATTTGGCCCTCAGAGCCTTGCTCCGCCACCTGACTGCGGTTGTTTAAGTTAAGTGTCTAAAATAGAAAGTTAGCCCTATACAACCCTGTTACAGCCAGAGAGGAGAGAGAAAGAGGACTTCAAGTGTGAGGCAGAGAGGAAAGAGTGAGTTCTCAGGGCATGAGAAGCCTTCTCCAAATGCCCCTTGTCAGACAGCCGCTGCAGTTTTGTGAGTGTGCCGCACAAGAACATCCTTGCTTTATGGATTGTCCCAGTGAATGGCATGACACTCATTACATGGAGTTCTGCAGCTCCCAAAGTTTAAAGATATTCCCCTTTCTGTGAGATTTTTAAATGCTGGAGCCCTGTGAGCACACAAACCAAACCAGAGCACATAGGACGTCACCTTCCATAGTGAGTGATGGCTGACAAACTCTCAGACCTGACCTCTGAGGGAACAGTGCTTTTGCACTTCTCTGCTACTCCTTTTCCACTTCTTCTACAGAAGTGCTGCAAACCACAGTTATCAACATATCCCCTCCCTCCCAGCTACAGCCTGTGCAGCTCCAGGTGGGTCTGCAGACCCTGCTTCCTCCCTGCTGGGTCCAAGCATCTCCATGCTAGCGTAGCTCCATCCCAATCCACCGCGGAGTCTCCGATTGGTGAAGCAACCTGGCCTTTTAATACCTTTAATACCTTAGTCACAGGCACACAGCAGGCTTCAATGCAAACAAAGTTTATTTAAATGGTAAGCAAGTCCTGTGCCATTGTCGGCGCCAGCCTCATCACCCTCCAGCAGTGCCTTCAAAACTGCTATTTAAAAACCTTCACCAAAAACCTTCCAGGTTTCTAGTTTTTCAGAGCTTGCCACAAAATGCGCAACCTGGTAACTTCATAGTTACTTGTTGGCTTCACACAAGCACTCGGAAGTCCCAGGGAAGAGGAAACCACAAATACTCCTTTTAGGGGAAATGAAATAATTACATATTTGCATAACAAAGTAATATTAGTGAAATCTGTTCAGCATGTGAAGATCAAACCCACACTTGTGATATTAGCTGCCTGGCTCTCAGCCTTTGCAGAATTCACTTACCAAAGCAATCTCCACTGCTGTGGCTCCCACATCCCAGCTCTTCTGGCTCTCATCTGGAGAATTCCCAACTGCAGCTCTGCCTCGGCTGCCTAGCACCCCCTCTGCACATCTTCTTGGCTGTCTGAGATGGGCTTCTGTGTGCTCTGCTCTGGCAGGGCTCCTCACACCGAGTCTTTTGAGTCAGTGATGTCAGCAGTATGTTCCCAGCCCCACAAAGTCACCTCACTCTTACCAGACCCAAAACCTCTGGCCAAGGTGTGTTGCCCTGCCTCCAGTGACCACATCTCTTCTCCCTGGGCTTGGTCTGCTCTGCGGGACCGCCGTGCTCTGGGACATATCACTGTCCCAACACATGTGTTTCGTGTGCACCACCACATACAGCTCGTGGCCCACACAGGAGAACACTGAGCAGCACGTCATCACGCAGCACGTGGCACCATGCAACACGGACTGCAATGCACCAAGACGGCTCTCCCATTCCCGGGAAATGAGGTGACGCGTGCTCCTCGGAATGTCCCCACTCACAGCCCTAGAGACTTACACAGAAAACAGCCTTTTGCTAGGCAGGGCAGGGTGGGAAGCCCATAGCAAATACCCTTGTGTGCAGCCATTCCCTATGTCCCCTGTGCTGGCTTTTCAGGGCTCACCAGCCAGGCTGGGTGTTTGCTCAGGTGGCCAGCAGCAGCCTTCCCACTGGACGGGGCTTTCCAGAAGAATTTCTTCTCTCAGGTCCCAGGATCACATGTTTCTCTCATCACAGAGAACTTGTACTGTGGGATCTGTGGTAATCTGCCTGGAGCTAAGCTGAAATAAAACACACCTCGAGTGAACAACAGCCAAACAACAGGAGCGACGTTCCCCTCTGCGCAAAGCCATGTTCTGCACACACGGCTCGTCTGCACGGCCGCAGTCTGTTCAGCACCTGTGTTTTTGTTTTCTTTGCAGTGGGAACTGTGTCTTGGCCTGCACTGCTTGTCCCTGCCTGCCTTGCAGAGAAGTGCCCAAAGGTTTTAGTCATCTGTAATCTGATTTCTATATGCAGGGAATCAGAGTTAATGCTGCATATTCCCCTACTGCATCTTTCACTGATGGCCAAAAGGAGAACATCTAATGACTTTAGTATTTTAAACTAAATAATAACATCTTTTCTGTGATTCTGCTGGTAGCTGATGATGGAGCTGTTCACCACCAATCTCGTGCTACTTTCCAGCTTCATTCTGTGATCCAAAATAACCACCGCAACAAGAGCTCCCAAAGCTGATGCGAGACCAAAGATCCAGACTCCACACAAAAAGAACAAAACTATGATTGTGGTGGGGTGCTAAAGAAATATAAAGGACTACGAAACACATACAGGCTAATCAAATCTGTAGACCCTAACTTGTGCACACAGTTCAGATGTGCTGGAAAAACACCCACAACTCTCTCCACTGGCCCAAACTCTTGAGACGCCCAATATTGGTTCCCTTCGGGCAGCGTGCAAACGCTGTACCTGCAGTAAATGTCACAGTCGGTGAGGATACTAAAATCTCCTTTAAGAAGAGAATGGAGACACTTCCATTCACGTTATGTTTACAGAAAGCAATAACTTTGGGCTGGAGACAGTTTGCATTTGTTTCTGCTAAAAAGCCATAGGGCATAA